TGTGTGTGTGTGTGTGTGTGTGACTGTGTCTGTTTACTCATACTCAAACTTTCACACTAACTGTGCTGACGTCACACCCTCCGCAGGTGAAGTGTGAGGAGTACTGGCCGGCCGACCCATCCACCCCTGTCTACTTTGGTGATCTTCACGTGACCTTGAGGTCAGCTTCCGTACTTCCGGACTACGTCATCAGGGTCATGGACGTCAAGCTGGTTAGTGGGACGAGACAGGGGTTGTCTAGTACATGTACTTAAACAGGTTTTCTTTATGTTAGGTGGTTTTGCGCTCCTAACCACAGAATTGAGATGGACTTGGGGGCGGGCTTTCAACTCTAAAGGTCAGGGTCAACCCAGGCTGAGAGAGATACATCCTAACAGAAAGACCGATATACTGGACAAAAGTTTTCTCCGCACTTGGGGTTCCCACTCGGGTCTCTTGCGTGAGACAGCAAAATGCCTAACTGCTATATCACAGACGCGGGTACGTAGTTATAGTTGACAGTGACGTTGATATGACGTAACAAGTTCGTTGATAGGTCGCCTTTATATTGGCATGGAACTTTTCTTTACAGTTGCAGTGAACTGAGTAATTATTTTATATTGTCTTTTTTACTATGTATATAATATTGTGTGCTCTTCGGGCTTATTTTGTGCATTGCTGTTGGTGTTTTTGATTGATCAGTTAGCACTGTTCGTTTTCTTTAATTTGAAGCTAAATATTTGATAAGTTGTGCCATATTTTATCATGTATGCAGTGGGTTGTTAACGGGTGCTGTGTTGTGGTTTGTTCCTTCGTTCCTTTCAAACATGTACGTCCTTATCTCTCCTAATTCTTTTCTTTGTATGTTACTCTCTAGTAATAACATCTCTAATCTTCAGCACCTATATGACCTATTTGTGTTGCAGATGCCGTAAAACTCAGTAACTTAAAAAAAAAAACAATTTGTTTGAGGAAAAGATACCTGAGCTACATTCAGAGAACACCTGACTAGAGTAACGTTTTTTTTTTAATATTTTTTAGGAAAAGAAGTGTTAACCCTGAACTCCCCCCCC